ACAAGTAGGCAGACAGAGAGGGGGAAGCAGGATCCCTGCTGAGCAGAGAGCCCGATGCGATGCGGGGCTTAATCCCCAGGACCCTGGGATCATGACCTGAGCCGAAGGCAGAGGCTTAACCCACTGAGCCACCCAAGTGCCCCTTGAGAAGATTTTTTTTTTTTTTAAGATTTTTTAAGGATAACTATTTCTGACAGATAAGGAATGTGTTTTATAAGAAATAGCATTTGTAAAGGCAGAGAGTTTAAAACAGGATTTGCTACTGTTAAGAGCACAAGTAGGAGTTAACAAACTGTGTAATAATGAGTTAACCTTAACAAATAGGGGTCGGGGTTTTGTCTCAGTTATTAGGAGTACTGAAATGTACTACCTGATAAAAGTACTTTGTTTACCTGGCACTTCAGCTACATGCTCAAGATATGGTTTATAGTGGGAGCTTTAGGTCACCTAGAACCAGCTCAACCTCAGGAGGGGCTAGAGACAACCAGACCCGGGATTACCAGGAGTAACTATCCTATAAATTAATCAAATTGAAGTCTGAAGGAAAGGCAAGGGTCTTCTGGTTCAACCCACTGGAGAACCAAGTTAATATGCATTTGTGTGGGTGAAATAGCCAGGGAGTGGATAAGAGACATTTCTGGCACTCCTTAACATGAGAGCCCACTGCACTATAATTCTAAAATGTTAGAAGTCCTAATGGGGAGCTACAGTTAGACTGGGAGGAGAAGCAATAGTTAACAGGATTAAGGCAAAAATCTGGATGAAAGTTGGAATGTCAGAACAGACTTTCTGTGAAGTGGTTATATCTCCTTCACGTGACTGTATTATTGGAATGGATGTTATATCTGACTGGTATTGTAAAACAGAAAGCATATAAATTCACCTAAAGGCCAGTCTTGATTAGACATGCTAAAACGGGAACCAATGAAACTGAGCCCACAAAACTTAATTTGAGACAGTATATGATACCTGGTGATAGATTACCACACTAATGATAAATTATAATAAGCCAGAGTCTGGTAACAATGAATTCTCTAAACAATAACAATGTATATGTATCCTGTGAAAAAAATGGATGGCTTATCAAGCCTAACCGTAAGCTATAAAGCTAGAATAAAGTAGAACCCCTGTAACATCAGCAGTCCCTGATACGATTTCAATAGTAGAAAAAAATATATAGCAGGCTAAAAGAGAATGATACTCAGTAAATGATCCTGTGTATGTTTTTTTCTTTTCCACCTCAATCCCTCCCAAAAAAAGCCAATAGCAATTTTCCTTCACTATACTGCCAAAGGGTTACTTAAATTCACCAGCTTACTGTTATACGGCGGTTAGAAGGGATACACATCTTGATGATACCATGACAATACCACAAACTAAAGACAAAGGTACAAGGGACTTAAATATAAGAAGGACCTATATAACCAAAAGAAGCTGTTAATAAATCCACCAGGTCCAAGGACCTGCCAAACTGGTAAAATTCTTAGGAATAATCTAGTCAGGTGCAAACCTTGACATTCCACAGGTCAAGAAAAATAAATTGTTTTTGCCATCTATCCCTAAAACTAAACAAGAAGCCCAACGTTTGGTGGTATATTTGAATTCTGAAGGACACATATTCCACATCTGGAAATATCAACAGCACCAATCAACACAACTATCCAAAAGAAGGCTGTATTTGAATGGGATCCTGAACAAAGGTAGGCCATGTTTCAAATGCAAAAACTAATCTATCACCCCATGCTCTTGAGCCCCTACAATACATAGTTGGACATGATTTGGGGACTGTCAACAACACTTATTTATGTGGACTAGGGCTTATGGCAAAGCCAGTGAATGCCACTAAGCAGGAACAATTGGGATTTTGGACCAGAAAATTTCTAGATACCATGTTAAAATATATACCACTTGAGAGAAAATTAGTAATTTGCTATTGGGCATTGAGGCTGACTCTATGACTGAAGGACATGATATAAGTCTGCAACATGAAACACACAACGTATTGGGCAACAGAGGAACAGTCCAGTAAGGAAGGCTGTGACGAGGGCTCCTGGGTGGCTCTGTCGGCTAAGCATCTGCCTTCAGCTCAGGTCATGATCTCAGGGTCCTAGGATCAAGCCTGCAACTGGCTCCCTGCTAGATAGGAAGTCTGCTTCTCTCTCTCCCTCGGCTGCTTGCCCTGCTTGTGCTTGCTCTCTCTCTCTCTCTCTCTCTCTCTCTCTCTCAACTAACTAAATAAATAAAAGGAAGGAAGGATGGGGACGCCTGGGTGGCTCAGTTGGTTAAGCAGCTGCCTTCGGCTCCGGTCATGATCCCAGCGTCCTGGGATCGAGTCCCACATCGGGCTGCTTGCTCGGCGGGGAGCCTGCTTCTCCCTCTGCCTCTGCCTGCCATTCTGTCTGCCTGTGCTCATTCTCTCTCCCTCTCTCTCTCTCTGACAAATAAATAAAATCTTTAAAAAAAAAAAAAAAAAAGGAAGGAAGGAAGGAAGGAAGGAAGTGCCCAGAAGAGTATAAAACAGAAATGGGTTTGTTCAGTAACGTATGACCAGCAGGATGCTAAGAGTTATTTATTGTATCTATGAGCAAATAGCCTCTTTTCCCCCAATGATAACTTTAAAACCACTCAAGGAGTTGCTGAATCCTAGAATCATACAGGTGGTGCCCTATGATCAGCTCTCTGAGAACCAAAAAAAAGCTGCTTGGCTGTCAATTACACTTCAAAACTGAACAAACTAATAAATTTAAATTTAAAAGAGAGAGAGGACACAAAATGGTTTATGGATAACAGTTCCAAGGTGAACAGACAACACCCTGTTCAGAAGGCTCTAAATTGGAGATGGTAATAACAAATCATATTGATGAGCTGAACTGCTTGCTGTTTTCCCATTAGGGTTTTTATTAAACTCTGCAGTTGATGTCAGAAATGAGGGTAGTCTATGGGCTGTTTCCTAACTTTGTACAGATGATAAAGAGAAAAGATTAGTATGACTCAATAATGTATGCTATATTAAACACCCAAAACTTTAGCGATGGGTGATAGCTGAAAGGTGTTTTAAAAGGGGGGTGAGGGGTGAGGAGGGACTCTGTTTTAGCAAAATGATCCTGTCAGCAACATGGACAGAATGAATTTGACAAGGTAAAACTCAGAGGAGGGAGATCAACTCTAAGTGTGTTGTAGTAATAGGAACCTAGGGTTTTAAAGTGCAATGACAGGGACACCTGGGTGGCTTAGTCAGTTAAGCATTCAACTCCTGATTTCAGCTCAGGTTATGATCTCAGAGTCATGAGATCAAGTCCCATGTCGGGCTCTGTACTGGGCTGGGCATGGAGTTTGCTTGAGATTCTCTCTCCCACTCTCCCTCTCATTCATTTCTGAATGAATGAATGAATGAATGAATGAATAAAATAGTGCGATGACATGAGTTCTCTAAGAATCTATCCTGGAAAAAATATAGGGTGAGCTAAAGTAAAGGGAGAAAACATTCAAGAGATGATTAGGACCTGAAACTAAGTGGCAAAGGAAAGTTAAACTGTGAGGGAAGGACAAGTGAAATGATTCTTTCATGGGGAAAAAGGATGCCATCTTCCCTTTCTTTTTGCATCTCACCAGCAATTTAAAAAGTGTAAGTAACCCAAGTGCTCAAAGATCTGACTGACTGCAGCTGTGAGAATGATAATCTAATGTCTTAATTGAGATTTTTACAAAACAATGGTAAAATTTGGCCTAAGGTGAAGGTATCTACAAGATTAGTCAGTCACTTCAAGTGAAACACCAGCCAACTTGCAGATAAGATGAAACATTTGGGAACAAAATAAGGTTACAAAAGTTTAAAGTAGCAATTCTAAACAAATGTTCTATAGAGCAGTAAAAAAGAACAAAGATCATTACTTTCATGTGGTCAAGTCTGAGAGATTCCATACACTGTGTCTGCATCTATATACCATATGGAAGACAATGAACATATAGGCTTAATATAGATCCAACCGCCTGTGTTAAAACCCAGGCTCTGCTACCTCTGGTGAGACCCTGTACAGATTACTAAAGGTTTCTGTAAGTAGGCTCCCTCACCTTTTAAACAGTCATGATACCAATACTAACACTTCATGGATAGTTGGGTGTGAATTAAACAAACATGCAGCATTCAGAAAAGTGCCTCACACAAACTACGAAAGCCTAATTGTCAGCTATTAGGACTATTGTTAAGGAATTAAAAGCACTAAGACATCCTACAGTTAAGAAACACATTTAAATGTGGTTAATCCAACTTAACCTACTCTTTTCTGACAGGAGATTCACAAAACCTATTTCCATCAAATCAGCAGAAGTACTGTAACCACACTTTAGAAAAGGCTGTGGACTATGGGTAAGCAAGACCATCTTTTAAACTACATACAATTTAATAGAAACTGGAAAATTTTCTGGAGGACTGTTACACTCCTAACTAGAAATTTTAGTACATTTCCAGAAGAATTCAAACGTAATAGACTCATTATAAGCGAATAATATTGAATTCTGAGGACATAATAGGGTTAAAATAGAAAGCTATGTATTAAAAAATTAGTAACTATGCTTGCTTAGACACACAGTTTGCAGAAAAACAAGGGGTTTATATCTAACATGAAATCAGTATAGTTATGCTTTGATGTTAAAATGTGTATCAGCCATTCCTGCTGGAATATTACCTTTTTAGATTATAGCCTAGGGCCTAAATACCATAGTATACTTGAAAAAAAGCTTATTTAAACCAGAAGCACAGCTAATAATATAACCTCTTTCTTGAAAACCCAAATGTAACGATACATTTTTAACAAATATTCATAAGATAATCATATATGAATGCGGGAACCATTAAATAATTCATCAAAAACATATCTTGCTTTAAGAAATTTATAAAATTAAGAAAATGCTGACAAACAAAATTATGGATTAAGTAATAATAATTAATTTTACAAAACATTTTAGTAAGATTTCTTGTTAAGCAATTATGACTTCTGTACCTATGTTCTTTGTGTTCCAATAGCTGACAGTCTCTACATGTCAATCTATCACATGTTTCACAGAAAAGTTTCAATTGTTCTTGTTTGTGTACAGGGCAGAAAACAGGGCGCTGACCAGATGCTCCAACAGATTCTGCAGTAAAATAAAACATATATTTTTAAACTAAAAATTTTTATCTAACTTTCTAAATTCTTATTAATGTTGATGTCCAAAGCATATGAAGAATAAATAGAAATACTGTGAGGTAAAAGAGAGAGATTAATAGTATATTAATCAACAAAACTGCTTCTGTCTTACCTGAGACATCTTCTTTCTTCCTGATCAAGTGATCTTTAGTGAATTTTACTCTTTGATGTGCTTCAATACATGTCTTACATAGCCACTCTCCACATTCTACACAAAAGCCAACTGCACTTGCATTGTCTTCACAACTAGTACATACCTAAAAGAGAAAATAAATACTAATCTACATCAAATTTACACAATATAAATCCACAAAAAAACTGACCTGCTCTCAAATATACTAAATGACTAAAATAAAATTAGTTTGTTATCCATTTATCTTCAATAAAATCCTGTTCCTTCCATATCAAACATTCAAGTGAGTAAAAATTTAAGTCTTGAGAACACAAAAACTTACACAAGATTTAAATTCTTAAGTAATGACTTTTCATCTCATTTAATTAGTTATGAAAGTACAGAATAAAGAGCCTTTATTTTCAATGGGAAAAATAGAACTATACCTGAACTACCTTATTATCATGTAACTATCCAAACATATTTTTCTTATTATTTACATTTCAATACCAAGATAAGAATATAAAGAAAAATTGAGAAGCATACCTGTTCTGATTTCTCATCAGAACTGCTAGGAGCTTCAGATGTATCTTTCACAAAATAATTATCCACAAGGTCTATCTGTCTGCATTCCTGGCGGCATACTGGGCACCGTATTACACCAACTACAACACAGAACAAAAACATTAAAAAATATTCCTTGGGAAAAAATAAGGAAATTGTGCATGATGCCCATATGAAGACCAAAGAAATGAACATTAAGAGCTGAGTAAAATAATCCAGTGAGTTACTCCATTGGAGGAAAATGATACGCTATTTAGAAAGAGAAAACAGGGACGCCTGGGTGGCTCAGTTGGTTGGACAACTGCCTTCGGCTCAGGTCATGATCCCGGAGTCCCAGGATCAAGTCCCGCATCGGGCTCCCAGCTCCACGGGGAGTCTCCTTCTCTCTCTGCCCTTCTCCTCACTCATGCTCTCTCTCACTGTCTCTCTCTCAAATAAATAAATAAAATCTTTAGAAAGAGAAAACAAACAAGTGTTTATACCAAAAAAAAAAAAAAGTTCTTTACTTATTTATTATACTCTACGAGTGCTTTATTACAATGTGTTAGTCAAACAATGGCTCCCCAAAGATTTTCAGATCTTAATCCTTGGAACTTGTCAGTGTCACTTTATAGAGCAAAGGTGACTTTGCAGATACGATTAAATTAAGGCTCTTCAGATGAGAATATACTATCCTGAATTATTTGATGGACCCTAAATGCCATCTTGTAAGAGGGAGACAGAGGAAGACTGGGCTACCGAAAAGGAGAAGGGGTTAACAATGGAAGCAGAGACTGGAGTCCGATGCTTTGGGGATGAAGCAATAAACTAAGAAATACAAGTGGCCACTATAACCTGAAAAAGACAAGAAAATGGATTTTCTTCTCAGAGCCTCTAGAAGGAACCAGACCTGACTACACTTTGACTCTAGCAGACATCCTGACTGTAACCCAGTAAAACTGACAATAGCAAGAGATTAAAATGTGCTTTATTTTAAGCCACCCAGTTAATGGCAATTTTGTTATAGTAGCAATAAAAATACACAATCTATCACCTAATAAATTCTGATTTGGTTCAGAACTACTTGAATTCACTTTCATGTGGGAAGAAAGATCCTATGTGCCTGAACCTCCTAGTGATCTAGCACCTATGAGAAGAAATAAACCTATGAAAGTTAAAAACTAAAAAATAGCAACAGTCAACACAGCAAACTAGTATGTCAGCCATGAAACTGAGGATATAGCATAAATGATACAATCCTTACTTTCAAGAAAGGGTTCAAGATTAGTATGTAATTTTTTGATAGTTTATACCACTTAAAATTATAGGAAGCACCATAAATAGATATAAACAGAATCCCCAAGAGTTTTAAGTATACAAATTATAGAACCTTACAAAGAAGCTGCAGTAGAAAACAGAAACTTAAATACAGTATCATTTTGAAAGTAGGAATATCAGGGGGCACCTGGGTGGTTCAGTCCACTGGGCATCCACCTTTGGATTTCCACTCAGGTCATGATCTCAGAGTCATGAGCTTGAACCCTGTACTAGCTCCATGCCAAGCATGGAGCCTGCTTGAGATTCTCTCTCCCTCTCCCTCTGCCCCCCTCCCCCACCCTTACCCCTGCTCATGTGCACACACTCTCTAAATAAATTAAAGTAAGAATATCAGTCTCCCAATAAACATATACACTGCTTTTTTTTTCTTTTTGTGCTTTTTAAAAAATTAACATATAATGTATTATTTGTTTCGGGGGTATTGGTCTGTGATTCATCAGTCTTACACAATTCATAGCACTCACCACAGTACAAAGCCTCCCAAATAATAAAATGTTAAAATAATGCTAAAATAAACTCAAAGTTATATGTTTGAAAACAAAACAAGTTTTTATAATACAAAGTACATACAAAGATGTTGCTTAAAGGAAATGCAAAAAATAAATTTTCAAATCAAAGGAAGAAACAGTATGGGAAAGAGAAAGAAGGAAAAGGTATATAAATATTTCCATATTTTAGATGGCATTGAGTTACTAACCTTTCAAGAAACACAGAGTATAATAAAACTACAAAGAAGATAATTATAAGTAATTATAGGAACAAAAGTATGGGAGCAACTAACTTCTTACAATAAATTAAGTAAGCTTTCACTGAACAGATCACACTTAAACATGGTCTTGAAAAATTAACATTCACTTACTAGTGTGCAGGAAAGTTTGCTGACCTCGGTTCTTCAAATCCTGTACATTCCTAAAGAAGGCCTATCTCCAATACCAGCCCTCGAATGGCTCCTGTGACATGACCTCTAACTCTTGGAATATTCTACCTGATAAGATGGTTTTTGTATGCCTGTGGCCTTGGCCCATGCTGTATTTGGTTACACCAAATGGTAAGGGTGGCTCGAGTCTCCGGATGTGGTGTGAGTTCTATAGAGAATGCACCTCTTTATAACCATTCCCCAATAAAAACCTAGACATGGAGGTTTAGGTAATCCTTCCTGGTTGGCAAATTCATGCATATCGTCCGAAATAGTAACTTGAAAACTAAGCATCCCCTGTGTAATTCCATTGAAAGGAGACCTCTGGAAGCTTGCACCTATTTTCTCCTGAGCTTCATACCAAGCACCTTTGCTAATTTTAATCTATTTCTTCTCTCCTTCTAATAAAATGCAACCATGAGAGTAAGTTTTTCTGAATCAATCCTGCCAATCACTGAGCCTGATGGTGACTCCAAACTCAACTAGGAAAGGAAGAAAGAGTATGCAAACCAAGAATATCAAATGCAAAGTTCACAAATGAAAAAAAAGAAAGTTACAAAAGGTAGAAGAATGTCCACATATACATATGTAAAATACTGAGGAAGTTAAGAAATTTGCAGCATCTCAATAAAGGAATATTTTTGTTGAGCAATAAACAATATTATCAAGTATCCATTATACCTGTGTAAATGATAATTTGATGCAAGTCTTTGTTTTTTTGAACCCAGTAAACCAATTCTCAGATTTCTTAAAATTCAAGCAGACATCATAGTTATGACAACAAAAATTCATCCATATCTAATTATCCTATTAAATATTATTAAGGAATCTGGAGATAAAAACATCCAAGGATATTAAGGCAAAGGAAGAAGCAATGCACACAAGTCAGTATACATGCAATTTTAAGAAATGTAGAAGCAAAATAACACACACACTGTAGAAGAAACCCAACCCAGAGTAGACAAGGAGTAGAAAGGTACATCTCAGAGAAAGATTCTTACTTTCCATAAAGCCTTTCAGACAAGCTTGGAATTCAGAAATTTGAGGCATGAAAAGAAGTTCCAATGAGAGGGAATAAATTCAAGTCTATAGATATCAGCAAATCCTATTCCTTGGCTGACTTAAACCTGACAGATTACCCAGCAGCCAAAGTATCTCACCACCAAAACGGAAAGAGCTGAAGCTTCTCCGGGGATCTTTTTGCTATCTGTTTCTGTATTTAGTCAATAAATTTAAAAATTATATAAATATTTGCTCTGAAAATAAGAGCCCTTTTCCATTTGAGTTTATGAGTAAGTATACCCTTATAATTAGTATAGATCAGATGACTGTGCTCCTGACTCAGTCACTGAATGCTGGTTGTCATGGTGAGTTTGGATCATTATTAAAAACTAAAACCCAAACTCCAAAGCCAAGCTGCTGACCAACTTTATGTATAATATCCCTAGAATGGATTTCATTACTTCAAATTTCAAGTTCTAAGAGACTCACTTCAGGCCTATTAGATTATTTTTAAATGCCAACTTACTAAAATGCATAATTATGGGGGAAGTAGGGGAGGACTCTTTTTATAAGGCCGAAAGTCTACAAACTAGTTTATCTTCACTGTGTTAAGTGAAATTTAGTTTCCATAAGTTGACTGATGTGGACTTCCATTCAAGAACGATGATTAAGCAGATATGGAAAGACCACCCGTAATAGCTAAACACAGAAATAACTAAAATATAAAAAATCAAAATGTACTTTGAAAAATATATAACTGAGTCCCCAACTTAAAAGGCAAAACTGAAGTTCCAGAAACAAAAGGGAACTCAAAGCTCAAGTGGCCCAGTATCAGCTGATACAAATGGGTCACTGGGGTTAGTTGTAAGTACCACTACTGGGAACAGGAAAAAAAAGACAAAGGTTAAAAGATAAACCTGAGGGCACCTGGGTGGCTCAGTCCTCAAGTGTCTGCCTTTGGCTCAAGTTGTGATCCCAGGGTCCTGGGATAGAGTCCCACTTCAGGCTCCTTTTTCAGCGAGCAGGGAGCCTGCTTCTCCCTGGGCTTGCCTCTCCCCCTGCTTATGCATGCTCCCTCTCTCTGGCAAATAAATAAAATCTTAAAAAAAAAAAAAAAGGTAATTAAAAAATAAAACCCCTTCTTTAATCAACTCAGAACTCCAAACAAAATGTTCACAAAACAAAAGTTAATATCTTTGCTTCATATCTACTTCTCTTCCCGGGATTCCTTTTTAGGTGAATTCACATATTCATTCAACAACAACAAAAAGAGAAGCTTCTCTGGAACCTTACCTACACAAAATTGTCTCATTAGAACACTTCCCAGGGCACAAGTAGGTCACCAACTTAAGACAGGCTCACAAAGGGGCACCTGGGTGGCTCAGTGGGTTAAAGCTTTGGCTCAGGTCATATCCTAGGGTCCTGGGATCGAGCCCTGCATCGGGCTCTCTGCTCAGCAGGGAGCCTGCTTCCTCCTCTCTCTCTCTCTGCCTGCTTCTCTGCCTACTTGTGATCTATGTCTGTCGAATAAATAAATAAAATCTTTAAAAAAAAAAAGGCTCACAAAATAAAATTACAATACATGAAGAAACCCAATACTATTAGAGTATGTTAAGAAACACATTAAGGCAAGAAAGAAAAACCTAACCCACAGAAAATAAAACAATCTGAAAAGACTTCAAAAATTTGTATGTACAATGTTGAAGGGGTTAAAGGGTCAATCTGTGAAAATAGAGCTAAAAAAGAATCAAAGACAAATAAAATATAGTATTGAATAAACTCAAAACACAAGTTAAACAGTAAACAAGAGATAACTGAAAAGGAAATTAATGAAGTAGAACACAGATATTCAGCACAGAGATAAAG